CACAGAAGGGCTTGCACTTGCATCCTGAATGATGGCAGGTGGTGCTTAGCTTTGTGTGCCGAAGTCAAACCCAGAGACATGATCAGCTGTGAGACCCAGCACCTAGAAGGAAGAAATGCAACAGCTCCTTGGACTATGCTTCTGTATATAGATACTGGTGTTGATGCTGGCATGGCATGTAAAAAGCCAGGCAAAGCCTACTCCCAAAGCCTTCACTGAATGAGGGTTGAGTGGTAGTTTTCCTTTTCTCTTCTATTTATGATGAAATATAAAATACAACCAGAAAAGTACACAAAACCAAGATAATTTATCCACAAAGTAAACCTGCATAACCAGTACTCAAGTCAAAAGGATAATATTGCCACTCTCAGAGGATCTGCCCCTAAAGATAACAATTATCCCAATTTTAATAGAAATCATTTCCTTGATCTCCTTTATCAACTGAATAATTGACTTAGTTTTGCTGGGTTTTGATCTTTATCTCAATGAAATCGTGCAGCAAGCGTTCTGGTGTATCTGGCTTGCTGTAATGTTTAGCTGTAGATCGTTCCTGTGCAGTTCCATACCTAAGAATATATTTCTATTATTGATGTACATTTGGATCATTTTCAGGTAGGTGATGTAAAAAATGCTGCTGCCATGAGTGCTGTATTTACCTCTTGGTCTACTTGTCCATGCAGTGCTGTTGGGAACCAACATACCTAGAGATGAACGTGCTGGCTCCTCCATTCTTCATGACTTTCGTTTTAATATTACACCAAGTAGTCTTCCCACGTGGTTGTACTGACCTAAACCCTTTCCAGGGTGGGAGAACTCTGTCACTTCACACCTCACCAAAGCCTTGGTGCTGCCAGGCTTTTATGTGTTGGCCATTCTGATGCACGGTGCATGGTGATTTTCATTTAATTTTCCTTGATTACCTATTCATATCGTTATTGGTCATTTGAAGTCTCTTGTTTCATTTTCTACATGGTTGTCATTATCCTAATAATTTGCAGAAATCTTCTTCAAGTTAAACACACTACAGATATCTCCTCCCACTTTGCGACTTACCTTTGCTCTTCTTCCTGGTGTCTTCAATGGCTGGGGGGGTCTTAGAATTACGGCAGAACAATTTATCAAGTTTTTCTCCGTATGGCTCACGCATTTTACTGCTTGTTTAATTAGGCTTTCTCTAGCCCATGTTCAAGAAAGTATTCTTTTACATTTTTATGCAAAAGATGTGTTCTGACTTTCACATTTAGACATGCAAATGTGTGTGTGTGATATAAGGGAGCAATTTTCTCTTATTTCCATATGGATCTGCAGCTAAGCCACTACCACTTACTGAAAAGACTTTTCTTTCTCAACTGCATCACCGTGTGCCTTGGTCATGAGTAAAGCATCCCTCTCTACCACGCTTCTCCTTGGCTTCATGCTCTGTTCCATCCTGGACTTTGGCGACTGTTCTCTGGGCCTGTTGAACTTGTTGCTCTGCTTCTCAAATGCCCTCTTCAAACTGTAAAATGCCCTCAGGGAAAAGCAGCCCCAATGCTGAGCTCACCTGTTGGGATCTCCATCTTCACACAATCCTGGCTCTACTTTATTCTCTATTTTTAGTTTTCTGATGCCCTTAGACAGATGATTTAATATTTTATTCTGCTTTTATAATGTCCTCAGCAAGAATTTTGTTTCAAATGACCTAATTCATCATTACCAGAAGCAGAAGTCTGGTAAGTCAGTTTTATTTTTTATTCTTTTTAGAGACAAGGTCTCTGTCACCCAGGCTGGAATGCAGTGGTGTGATCTTAGCTCACTGCAGCCTGGAACTCCTGGGATCCTCCCATCTCAGTCTCCTGAGTAGCTGGAACTATAGGTGCATGACACCATGCCTGAATAATTTTTAAATTTTTTCGTAGAGGTAGGGTCTCGCTATGTTTTCCAGGCTGGTCTTGAAATTTTGGCCTCCAGCAGTAGTGATTCAGTTTTAAATAAAATTTCAACACCTTTGGACATGGTAGGAGAAATTGTGAGACAATGCAGGCCAATGAGAATACTTCAAAATCGAGCCTAGGTTAAGCATCAATGTGGAAAGGAATTCAGGATGTTTAAGACTGAGAGGGAACCCCTGTGAGGCAGAGCAACTGTGCCTAGTGGAAAGAAGGCCCCAGGGTCCAGGGAGGGTGTTTCACTGGTGACGGGTACTTCAAGCTTTTCTAAGCAAATAACATGCAGATTAATTCAAAATAGTTTAAATGAACAAAGAAAGTACATTTTCCCACATATTGCAAATTCTGGCGTTAGTGTGATTCCAGAGTCAATTAATTCAACAGCCTGCCAATATCATCAAAAATCCGGGTCTCTCCATCTCTCACTGGTGTTGGTCTGTGGTGGGCTGCCTCCCTACACACACCTGCCACTGTCCAGGAACCATGTCCAGCCACAGCAGTGGACAATGAGGAGGCCAGCACTGTCCCTTTCCCCGTCCTCTTCTCAATGGCAGGGACAGCCTTCCCCAGGGGTCCTTCCTGAAGATGTCCCCTCATGTATCCTGCATCAGAATGGTCTTTCCTGTCACATCTAATTCCATCGCTGGCAAAGGGAAGAGGCCACCATGCTTGGCTCCAACTCCTACGACTCATCTTTTGAGACTGGGACGTGCCCAGCCGTATCTCCCAAAGAGCTGCGATGAGCTTCTTTTAGGTGATGGTGGGAGGTTCCTTATGTTTGAAGAATGCACGGATAGACAAGGAAAGGAATCAGAGGCTCCTGGACACACACAGGTCTGTGAATGCAGTCTAGGCCGGAAGCAAGGGCTGTGAGTGCATGGAGAGAAAGAGATACTGGGTGGAGGGATGGAAGGAAGGCAACAGAAGGGAAAAGAGCCTGACGGCCACCAAGCAAGAGGCAGAGAGACCTGAGTGCTGAGTTGCTTCACTCCTAGGAGAAGTATTCTTAGCTGCACCTCCCAGTTCTGTGTTCATCACCTGGGCAGCTCCATGGGGCCAGTCAAAAGGGTTCTGGCCCTGACCTGCTAACATGTTTGTGCAGGCAGTCCAGTTCAACTTCCAGCTGGCAGAACCAGAGGCTTGGGAGGTGAGGGGATTAGCTCCTGTGGAACAAAAGCATGGGGTGGCCCTTAAGCTGGGCTAGCCATAGTGACAGCCCCAGTGATACTGGATGGAAGGTCTTGACTGTGAGTTGTCCAGGTTCTTGGCATGTTCAAAAAAGAATTCAACAAAGTGCACAAGCAAAGCAACGAAGGAATGAAGCAATGAAAAACAAAGCGACAGAGGAAAGAAGTCACGAAAGCACAAATTTAGCAAAGTAAAAGTACAGTTAACAGAGTGGGAGCAGGCTCAAGCAAGCAGCTCAAGAGTACCGCTTCATTAGGGCTTTTATTAAGCCAAAAAAATGTGGTAACACCCCTAGGTGCCTTTCAGAGGCCCCCAACTGGTTGCACCCCAGGAAGGATTGACCTGCAACCAATCAGAGGCTGAAGTGGAGACCCTGCCCACCGTCAGTCAGAGGCTGAAGTGGAGACCCTGCCCACCGTCAGTCAGAGGCTGAAGTGGAAACTTCTGTCTTGTTATCACAGAGTGAAGATGTGGCCTGCACACTGCCCAGGCCTGCCCAGACCGACTGCACCGCCTTTCCTTTGCTTACGCCTTAACCCTTGGTTGCCCTAATTCCCTATTCTCCTGTCTCACCAGGATCATCCAGACTGATGTGAGCCCTTGTATAAATCAAGCCCGAGAGGGGCCCCTGGTCCCTTTCTGGCCCTGTGAGACACAACCATACATGAGAGACAGTGGCAACCCTAACAGCAGGGCATGCCTGGAACCAGGGAACCATCTGTGCCCGAATTTAGGTTGCGGCCATCTTGGGTACAGCCTTGCGGGCAAGCTGAGTTTCTAAAGGATTGACCTGCCTGGTTCTTTCACCTTCTAGCAGTCCAGGCCCTCCCTGAGTGTAGCAAGAGTCTCATCTCAGGCAGTTTGTGACTCAGGCATTAATTCTGTTTCAGAGGCGCCCTAGCAAAAACAGGAGCATCAGACTGCAGCATTGCTCTCATTTGGGCTTGGGGGCAGAACTTTGGGGCCTGGGTTGAACTGGTTCTTTGAGATTCTAGCTAACTGGATTGAGAAGAGGCACATTCTGCATGTTCTCCAACCTGGGGATCAGCTGGATCTCAATGCTATGCCGTTCAGTTCAGCAAATTCTCCCCGGGAGTACAAACTGCTCCCCGCACCTGGAGGATAGCGGGTCACACTTGCCTCATGCACCACACAGACCCATGCACTGGCCACCCTGTCCCCATTCTCCACATCACAGGACCTTCTGCAGAACTTGGTACTTCAGGAAGTAGACCAGTCGCCAGCAAACTCTGTGTGTACAGGGCCAGAGAGTAAATCATTTAGGCTTTGAAGGCCAGAGGGACTGCATTCCAACTACCCCATTCTGTTGGTGTAGGATGAAATTGGACATAGATGAATCGTGAATGAATGAATGAGGCTGTGTTCCCATAAAACTTTATTTACAAAAACAAGCAGCAGGTTGGATTTGGCCCCAAGATATGGTTTGCCAAGGCTTGATCTAAATTAACCAGCAATGCTGTTTTCTATGAGAGAAAGAACTTGATAGAACTGTACACTAATTGTTCTTTCATCTGAATGCGCTATTTGATTTAAACACTTGTTAATGATGGTTTTTAATTGCCATTTTTGGTAAATGTAATGCATTACATTTTAATCTTTTTCTAATTGACTAAAAACAGGAAAAGGCAGTCTCAGATCTTTCCTACCAGGTAAGGCATTTGGTTTTTTTTTTAGAAATTGATTAATACATTTTTATTCACAAATAATAATTGTGCATATTCATGTGGCACAATGTGATGTTTTGATCCATGTATACATTATAGCAAGGTCAAATCAAGCTGATTAACTTATCCATCATCTCATCAACTTATATATATATATATATATATATATATATATATATATATATATATATATTGTTTGTGTGTGTGGAGGTTAAAAATCTTTCCTTTCAGCATCTGGTCTTTTAAGTCTGATTTGCTGTCTAAGTAACTGCACCGGAAATTTCTAATGGAGCCGCGCAGTGGGTGAGTCAGCCTGTAATTGTTCTTTCTGTTTTTGTTTGCACTCTGAAGAGCATGTGGACTTTCCGGCTTGTCACCCACTCTCTTTAAATCTACCAGCCCTGCACTTTTCAGGGTTGCCACCTACACAGTTCTGAAGGCATGCTCAGGGTGCCAATCAAGTGTCACCAAAGCAGAGCAAAAAGCCTGCCTGAACCATCATGAGGAGTGTTGTGTTTAAGCCCGAAGCACGGCACTCCTCACTTGGCATTAATACTTAAATCTAAGCTGAGGGTTTTTGTTCCAGAAGAGACAGCCTCTCTGCTGTTGGCATGAGGTTAGTGCAGCGTTTGTATGGGGGTGCAAAATCATAGCCATAAACCGTGGATGAAGCAGCATAGGGGAAAGTTCTTAGCATCAGCAGGTTGGTAAAGTAAGTCAGCAACTGATATTAGAGAGAGCTTACTGCATCCTCAGAACTGCTCACTGAGAACTGAGTAGTTTGGGGGTGGGCAACTCATGTTCAAGCCTTTGAGCACCGTGACCTTGGGCAAGTCATTATATTTTCTCTGAGCCTCTCTTTTTGTAAAATGTGAATATGCTGGATTGATTGCAAAAATGTCCCCACTTTCCATCCCTTCCTTGTATCCTTTCCATTGCAACTCTTCAGCTCCGTAAGAGGCAGAACCTAACTCCCCACCCCTCAAAATGGAATGCTTCATGGCTCACTTTGTCTAACAGGATGCATAGTTCTGCCTGGCTTCCTGAGCCTGGTGCCCTTTGCCGGCTCTCACTCCTTGGTCCCTGCCTGCAAACAAGTCTGGGCTGGCCTGCTGGGAGAGGAGGCAATGTGTGGAGGACAACAGAGGTGTCCCAGCTGACAGTGGGCCACATTGCCAAAGCATACCCTCTCGCTGACCCCTGGCTTCCCAGACAGGAGCAACATGAGGGAACACAGCCCAAACCACAGTAACTGCCTGGCTGCTTTCAGCCGAAATTGCTGATCAGCTGAATCACGAGCCAAATAAGTGGCTGTTTGAAGCTAGCAAATTTGGGGATGCTCTTCTTTGCAACCTTAGCTGTTACAGGGGTGCTGACTCTCGCTGGGTCTCAGAATGTGGCAGAGAGCAAATGAGGCCATGTGCGTCAGAAGCTTTGTGAATCCTAAGTAGTACACAAATATAAGCTGTCCATCAATTGCATATGTTTCTATCAGTATTGAGACCAAGCGGAGGATGCAAATCAATATAAACAGCCCCTCACCTCCTCACCTCAATACATGCAGGAACTCACTTCTGTCTTCCTGTTATCTCATCCATGTGTGATTCTCTCCAGCTTCACAGGGTCATCACCCGTGCACCCACCCCATGTTTACTGGCCACCTGCAGCATGCTGGGAACAGTTTTTGACACTGGGGATGTTAAGGTAGGTGGGGTAGAGAGGCAAATCCATAAATGATTAAAACAGTGAAAAACAGCTGATGCGAAAAGGCGATGCAGAAGACAAGTGCTATGGGCAGAATGTTCGCTGCCCCCCTCCTCATATGCCAAAGCCCTACCTCTGGTGTGACTGCATTTAGAGGTAGAACTTGTGAGGAGATGACAATGGTGAAATGAGATTGTAAGGGTGGGACCTGATCCCACAGGACCAGTGCCCTTATAGAAAGAGGAAGAGGGCTGGGCTCGGTGGCTCACGCCTGTAATCCCAGCACTTTGGGAGGCCGAGGCGGGTGGATCATGAGGTCAAGAGATCAAGACCATCCGGGTCAACAAGGCGAAACCCCGTTTCTACTAAAACTACAAAAAATTAGCTGGGCATGGTGGCGCGTGCCTGTAATCCCAGCTACTCAGGAGGCTGAGGCAGGAGAATTGCCTGAACCCAGGAGGCGGAGGTTGCGGTGAGCCGAGATCGCGCCATTGCACTCCAGCCTGGGTAACATGAGTGAAACTCCGTCTCAAAAAAAAAAAAAAAAAAAGAAAGAGGAAGAGACACCAGTGCTCACTCCCTTTCTCCGTTTCCCGTAGATGAGCACACAGTGAGAAGGCGGCCGTCTGTGAGTCAGGAAGAGAGCCCTCGCTAGAACCAACCCCACCAGAACCTTGGTCTTAGACTCCAGCTCCAGCATTTTGCTGTGGCAGCCCGAGTCAACTGAGACCGTCAGTGTAGGGAGAGGCAAAGGAGTCATCGGGTGGCTTCTTTAGGGCAGGTGGTCAGGTGACTATGAAGTAAGGAGCAATGAAGGGAAGAAGCCAAATAGAATCCACCGGAAGAATGTTCCAGAAAGAGGGACTGGCAGGACAAAGGCCCGGTGGCAAGCCCAGCTGGGGTGCACTCCGAAGGCCAGGGAAAGCGGTGGATTTGATTCTCCAGGTAACAGGAGCCCACAGGAGCACCTAAGGGAGGAGTGCCAGGGTGGAATTTATGTTAGGCCCTTCTGGCTGCTGAGTGGAGCCAGAGAGAAAGCCTAGGTGCCATTTCGGAGGCTGCCACCTCCATTGTCCTTGGGAGAGACATAGTTGTGGTTTTAAGATGGAGAAAAGCAGGTCAATTTGGGATAGGTTTGAAGGTGGCTGCAGCAGGTTCTGTTGAGGCATATTTAGGGATGTAAGAGGAAGAGAGGAATTGAGGCTGGCACCTGTTTTTGTGATGTATACCTAAGGCCAACAGAATACATGGGGCTTTTGTGGTCCCTAACCATGGGCTTTTTAACACCTGGAGGATGGTAACGCCAAAAGTTGGGAGCTGCTGAGCTCTTTGGGGTCCCGCTACTCTGTCATTGACTGGTGGAGCAGGTAGTGTTTCTTACCACTTATTTTTACTGCCAGGGATGGTGCCACATCCTACTAAATCACTGCCTTTAATTCATGGATATTTCCATGAAAGTGAAGTGAAGACGTTTATATGGGCATTGATGATCCGTTGCTGTGCAAAAAGTCACTCCTAAACAGTTTCTATGGTTTAGGAATTTGGGATCAGCTTGGCTGGGTGCTTCTGTCTCAGGATCTGGCTCATGCAATTGCCGTTGGATGTCAGCTGGGGATGTTGCTCATCTGCAGATTCATGTGGGGCTGAGGATCCACTTTCAGTGTGATTTGCTATGTGGCTGGCACGTTGGTGCTGACTGCTGCATGAAGGCCCTGGCTCCTCTCCTTGTGAACCTGTCCACAGAGCTAGTTGAAAGTCCTTATGATGTGGCAGCTGGACTCCACAGGGTAAGTGATCCAAGAGACCGAGGCGAGGGCTGCAAGGCCTTTTATGACCCAGCCTTGGAGGTCACACACCATGATCCTACCACATGCAACTTGTTACAGCAGGCCAGCCTCAATTTAGTGCAGGAGCAAATGCCAGGAGGCAAAGTGACCACAGCACACTCTGATTTGCCTAAAAGGCAAATAACATTGTCACTACTGGCTGGAAGGGCACTCAAGCCAGTGGTGACATTGTCTGTGGTGTGATTTATCCCCGAGTCACCTGCAGGGCTGGATTTGAGTCAGACCACCTGCATCCGGTGCTATCTCTTCCCACTTGGGAGAGGCGTTTGGCCTGCCTCAGGGTCCTCGTCTGTGACATGGGCTCTGACGTCTGCCTTGTGGTGTGATGTGAGGTTTGGGTCCAGTGCAGACACAAGGTAGTGCCTGAGAAGTGTTCTTCCCTTCCCTCCTCTTAGTCCACTCCAGTTTGCTGTGCAGCACACACTTGAGCACGAGTCTTTGAAACAAGTACGTTGATTACTACAGACCGTGTAGTAAGGAACCTTTGCACCTTGTCTATGTGAGGATTGAACTGGTGGACTCTTTTCTTGGCTTTGCCTGACACCTGTGGAATGGTATGCCCTGGAGAGAATGTCGCTTAGACCCACACATGGGCACACATGGGCACGTGCGTGGCTGCACGGTCAGTACAGGCTAGCTTTGATTTTTGCCAACTTTCAGATATGTGTACAGATTAGATGTCAGTTATATAATTTGGTTTAAATTATTTGCTATCAGCTTTATGCTGTAGAAGCTGTAGGAGCCACTGATGGTACTGGTCTTACGTGTTCTACAAAGTAGTTTGTAGGTCAAGGTAAACAGTGACTCAATACCTGCTTGTCTCAGGTGGGCATTAGGTAAGTTTCTTTAGAGCACTGTCATTAGTATCGCCTCCACGTGGGAGGTTGTTTTCCGACACCAAGGTTTGGCTTGTGTGGGTGAGATGGGGAATAACATTATATGCCCTTAGTCTACAATGCCAGAATGGGTCGCTTTCAATAAAACGCGACTCCTGGAGGGTCAACTAAGCTTAAATAGAAGTCAGCCACACTCTGCCCACCACCCTACCCTTGGGCCCCGGCAACTCTCATTCCAACAGCCTCATAGAGCTGCAGCAGGGGACAAACAAGGTCTAGTTGGCACTTGTTTCACGGTGAATTGGTTGTGCTAGATACGGCTGCCGATAAAAATTCAGATTAAACGTTCTGCAGCCATCTGTATGAAGCCTTAATGTTCCTGCCAAATATACTCATGGATCTAAAGATAAGCTGTCTGATCCAGTGGCCTTGGCCATCTTAATTTACTTAATTATACAGTTGAACTCATTGTCAGACATGGGCGCAGTGATGAGAAGGCTGCCATGCAGTGATTTACATTTCGCTCATGAGTTGGGTAATAAGTGGTTCTGTGCTGCGAGTTTGGGGTCTACAGAGCCTGGTTACAGCAGGCAAGTGTCTTCATCTTATGAAATGGTCAGTATCACGCTCCCTCTTTTCCTTAAATGTTGTATAACTCAAAAGCTACCTCTCCGTAGAATACTTGGAATTAATTGAATTGCTGTGTTGTAGTCGGCTCTACTGCCGTAACAAAGTACCACACACTGGGGGTTTTAACAGTAGGAATTATTTCCTGTAGTTCTGGAGGCTGGAAGTCTGATCAAGATGTTGATGGGGCTGGCTCTCCTCAGGCCTCTCTCCTTGGCTCGCAGACAGTGTCTTCTCTCTCTGTCTCTTTATGTCACCTTTCCTCTGTGTGTGTGTCCTCATCTCCTCTTCTTAGGACACCAAGCCATCCTAAGGACTTCATTTTAATGCAACCCACTCTTTAAAGTCCCCATCTCCAAATACAGTCACATTCTGAGGTTCTGGGAGTTAGGACTTCAATGTATAAACTTTTTGGGGAACACAGTTCAGCCCATAGCACACTGCTTACTCCATCCCAGCACTATATTTCAACCATGCAGAAAAACTTTTAGGATCTATTATTTAAACACATACTAAGGCTACTGCCCCTATGTGATTTGGTTCCTGATGGGTCCTGTAATTGGCTTGTCCTGGGGTTAGGAAGAGATGAATTCTGACAAGATCCCAGAGAAAGGGATACCTGAGTGGGTAGGCCACACCTGTGCTAAAGTCGATATACATCCAACCTCAGTATTCATATGAATAATTGGGAAATGTGTTAAAGCACAGACTCCTGGGCCACCCCTATGGCTGCTGCTTCAGAACCTCTAGGGAAGGGTTCTAAAATTTGCATTTTCAGCAAGTGCTCAGATTCCACTACCAGTAATTTATGCCAAAGAACCAGAAGAAGCCATGGCCAAGAGGGCCTTAAACAAGGGAAAGCAAATGGGCTGTCTCCTCCTCAGGCACTGGCTTTACAGCTGAATACTTTGTAACTATTGTTAGGGAAAAAGGACAACATGAGGGAGTTGTAGTAGATGCCAGACACTGAGCAGACTTTAGCACTGGTCCTTCAGCGCCTGCCGTGACAGCTAGAGTCATCGGACTGTCAATTACTTACAAGGTGGAACATCCTTCTGTCTCAGTGGACAGTGAGCTTCAGTTTCCTCTCTCCATGTTTGAGACATTACAGGGGCTCTGCACCCTGACAGTGAAAGGAACATGGACATGGAGCAAACCCCACCCAGGGCTTTCCCTCAGAGGTCTGCTCTGCTCCATATTTGCTTGAAGGTAAGATTTTGGGAAAATCTCATCCCTCACTGAACTCGAGGGTCCCTGGGTGTTTATCTCTAGGTGTAGCTAATATCACTAACGGAATTACAGCTGACCCTTTAACAACACGGGTTTGAACTTTGAAGGTCCACTGACATGCGTTTTTTTTCACGCAAATGTGGATAGCAGAGAGACAATGGTATTCAAAATTGTCTACTGTTTTCTAGAATTGAAGGGTGAGTTAGGAAGAGAAATGATTCTGTGTAATCTAACTAGAAACATTGGAAAGCTGTAAAACAAGGTGCTCTCCTTATCACCAAGGTAAGGAGAAAACCTAGTGACTCCAGGTTCACCTCCCCCACTGGTGACTCCAGGTTCACCTCCCCCACTGGTGACTCCAGGTTCACCTCCCCCACTGGTGACTCCAGGTTCACCTCCCCCGCTGGTGATTCCAGGTTCACCTCCCCCGCTGGTGACTCCAGTTTCACCTCCTCCTCTGGTGACTCCAGGTTCACCTCCCCCACTGGTGGCTCCAGTTTCACCTCCTCCACTGGTGGCTCCAGGTTCACCTCCCCGACTGGTGGCTCCAGGTTCACATCCTGCACCAGAGACACCAGGTTCATCTTCCCCACTGGTGACTCCAGGTCTACTTTCCCCTTGGAGACACCAGGCTTACCTTCCTGACCAGTGACACCAGGTCCACCTTCCCCGCCAGAGACACCAGGATCACCTTCCCGACCAGTGTCCACCTTCCGCATGAGTGACTCCGGGCTCACCTTCCCCACCAATGGCATCAGTGACATAGGGCTCCACTCCCCACTGTGACACTTCTGATCCCTTACTCACCAGTGTCACAGGCTTCCCTTTCCAGAAGGGAAATCCAGGCCTTCCTTCCTCACTGCAGTGAGAGGGCAGAGACCCCAGGAAGCCCCTCCCATTACTACTTCCCTAGGCTCCCCTTAGAGACCCTGCTAAGTGATGGCCCCTCTCACAGAAGTGTCCCAGCCACTTGCCCGAGATTCGTCTATCCTTCCCATGGATGACCATGACTCTAGAAGAGAGAATATTGTGAGCCAGACAGTTCTGTTCAAGCCATCCCCATTTCCCGGTGCTGTATGTTTAGTCTAGCATGTGGGGGGAGGTTATTTATCAGAGGATGGTGCAGGTGGCTCAGTCTTTGGACCTTGAGTGAGCTGCTGAGGAAATTGTCAATCAGGGCGTGGCCATCTGCAGGGCCACATTGTCCCTCGTGTTTCTACTACACCAGAAGATGCTGGCAAGCCTCAGAATTCCTGGGTATAATGTGAAGCCCCTACCCTGGAGCTCCAGAGTCAGCAGGCCTAGAGAGAGGCTGGAGATTATGCATTTCTAGCCAGCTCCAGGAGATGTGGATGCTGCCAGTCAGGACCACATGCCGAGAGCCACAGAGGAGCACAAATGCCAAGGTCTTTGAGCTTCCCGACTTCCCCTGGGGGTAGGTTATGTCTTAGTCTTTCCCATCTACATTGCAGCAGTGATTGGACATCAGCCCGGGGGACTAGGAGTAAAGGCCTGGTTTGCAGGGAGTCTGTAGGGGGTTTTGATTATTCTCAGCTTCCTCCCACTTGGATCACAGATCCTTGTATATGCCTTGCTCAGGGCTGGCAACTACTAGACACAGCACTGCCCTTCTGCCCAGGGCCCTAGGAGCTGCCATCCAGGAGCAAAAGAACCCCAGGTTGGTGTCAGTGGAACTTAATGTCCTCAACTCTTAAATAAGAGGGTTGGGCTTGATAGTCTCTGATGGTCCTTCCTTCCAGGTCCTGAGCTATAGCAAATGCTGTGTCATGTCTTCCTTCAGATTCCATCAGCCCATGTCTAGTTACTCATTGCCATACATAATTACCTCAAAACTTAGTGACTAAAACAATGATATGTTATGATGTTTTTTGATTCTTCAGTCAGAAATTTAGACTGGATATAGCTGGACTGCCTCCTTTCTGTTCCATATTATGGATATCTCCCATAAGTTGCAACTGGGATAATGAAAACTGGGAATCTCTCTCTCCATCTGTCTCTCTTCACCTGGTCTTTCCATGTGGTGGTTTGGGCTTCCTCACAACATGGTGGTCTTAGGATAGTTAGGCTTATCCATGGATGCTTGAAGTGCCAAGAGACATTGTCCTGAGTGGAAACTGAAAGCCTTCCTAAGATGTAGACCCTGAAGTCCCAGAGCATTATTTACATCGCATTCTATGGGCCAAGCAATTCAGAAGGGTGGATAACTAGATTCCACCTATCAATAGAGAAATTGCAGAGTATGGTCCTGTTTAATCTACTGCAATCCACCTCTGAGTCAACCTGTAGCCAAGGTGGATAGACCCCCGTATCCCGATGACATCCCACCTCAGGCCTGCTCTGCATCATTGCCTGAAGCCTTTCCTGGGTGTCTCAGGAGCTTGTGCATGTCTGCAGGTGACCCAGAAGTGCCAGCTGTGTAACTCACCAAAGGCACCAAAGGCATCCTCAGCCAAGGGGTAACAAGAGGGAGTAGATAACCCCAGAATCCCATCTTATGGGCAGGATGATTTGGGGCTAAGTCTAGGTCACAACTTGGAAGATCCACTGGGGACTGAGCCCAGTTGCCCCAGCAGTGAGCTCTTCCTGAGTACACCCTTTGTGATCTCCTCTCCATCCTTTTCTTGCGTTTCCTCTCCCTGCTTGGGCCTCCCAGATCACCACCCAAATAAACCACCTGCTCTTGAGTCCTTGTTGCAGCATCTGCTTTGGGGGACACAAAAATGAAGATGAAAGCTTGGTCTGGGGATCTGGAGAAGGCATGTAGTCACTGTCCAATAAGTGTTAGCAGTTATTACTATCACTGCATTCTGGAAATGCCTTATATCATATCATGGTTAGTTTTATAACCCAGTTGTAGAGATTTCAAAGAAATGTAAGGACCTAATTCCTAGACAGATTTTTATACTGAATCTGTGCTCGTACCTGTCTAATGCTTAGCCCTCCAAGATCTGAGAGACTTCACCCTCCTTGTGTAAACCATCTGGCCACCTGTTGCTATGAGTCACTGCCCCATGGCTTGTGTGCAATGTGGTTAATGTCGTGGCACCATGACGACAGCACTTCTCAGGCTCGCTCAGAGAAAGAGTCTTCGAGGTGGAACACTGCCAGACTCACGGTCAGCATGGCGGGCCTCCCAGTTAGTGGCCACGATGTCTTTCCATGGTTTCTTTTTCCCAGGAGAGGTACATAGATATGTTATATCCTTGTTGCAGAGCTAGCTTTTATTGAGTGCTTGCTTATCAGACAGCTAACGTGCTGAAGGCCTTCATGAAGATTATCTCATAATTCTCACAATGCCTCCCTGGCATTTAATAGAAGAGGAAAGCAAGGCTTAGGGAAGCCAGATACATTGCTTACTGAATTCGATTTTCCAGCAAAACTTCCTCTCCTGATTCTGTTCCCACAACATTTGGTTCCCATTGACGTCTAACACACATTCACATTCGCACACATATACACAGCCTCGGTTTCTCTCTTACATTCCTTTAGACACTAAGAAGGGAGTTTTTGGCTCACAATGGTTTTGTTCTGAATTATTCCAGCTTTCATTCTTAAGGCATGCTGCTCGATTTTGGAGATATTACACCAGAATTCAGTGGAACTTGGGGGCAAGAAAATATCAGAAGGGCAGTGAGAAGTGCCATCCCAGCAGAGCACCAAGGACAGGGTGAGCAAGTGGTCTGCCCTGGTGTGGGCTAGAAGGGGGTTCATCATCCGTGGGGGATTTTAAAATGATAATAATACCAAGTACCAACGAGCCTGCTCTTTGTCACTGCACACTAGGAATTCCCCACAATGTCAATCATGACATACTCTTTCCCCCTAAAATCTTTTCTGGTGAGAGTTCTGAAGAATTGCTGCCGTTACCAGAGCTTCAGTGATAGGTACATAAGCTTGAAGGGAGTATGACTTTATTACTGATCCTTTAATAAACACCATGTCAGTTCAGAGAACTCCCAGCAATACGGTCACCTCCGACACACATGGACTGAACTTCCACAGGCGCGTCTCGAGAGACGTTTGTCAGGGCCCTGGATCATTTAGACTCACTTCAGGCACGGTGGGGTCCTCGGCCCTGAGGAGCTACACGTTCCTGTCCCTGCATGGAGGCAGCAGGTGTGACCTACGCAGCTACCGTGCAGTGAAGGTACAGACGAAGAAAGGCAGCGGAGTTCCTTCATTGTGACCACTTGGAATCTGCATTTGTGTTTAGTGACAAGGTTAGAACTGCGAGGTGCACTGTTTTATTTGGTAAGTTTGGATTTTAGTTCATGCATATTTATTTCATGTCATAATTATGACTGACAATAATTTTGTCTTATGGAAGAGAGGAGTGTTGGCAATTTTCTGTTCAGGTGTCAGATATGCCAGGTCTGTCTACTACATCACACTATAACTGGGGCAGAAATTCAGGCCCTTTTTGGGTTTTGTTTTTGCATACAGTTGTCCTATACCTGAAAAGCAGGTGATATATTACACATACTCTTAGGTTCTCTCTTGCCAAGATGTAGGTGTCCCTTGTGTGTTGTTACACCCTCACAGCATATACATTATGGAAAGTGTACATCCCGGTCAAGCCCACAGGAAAGGCATTAACCCACTGACACTTCTGAAATCTTCTGTCCCTGTGGTTCTAGAAATACAAGAATGACTGCTTGAGAATCTCTAGCCTGGCATCTCCAAGCCCCTGGGGGATCCTCTGTGCTGGAGACCACAGTCCTTCACAGGACACTCCTTGATGGCCAGCACCCACACCCACTTCCTGCTGGAGCAAGGCTGCTGAAGTCTCTAGCTGAGCCCTCCCCAGGGCCTGCCCTCAGCTAGGGTCTACCCCGTCTTTGAGCTGCCTCCATCCAATGGCTGGTTTAGGAGGTGGTGCACGAAGGTCTAGCCTGGTGCATTAGGACAAGCCTGAAGTGCCCCCAGCTGAGCCTTTCCTTGGGCCTCCACAGTTCAAATTATCCTGCTGTCCAGTCTTGCCTCTTTACTCCCTGTGGGGATTGACCCTGGGGGCACCCCTAGTCTACTGCCTATGTACAAGTCAGGAGCTGTTCCTGGGAACTCTGTTATGACACATTCCTCCTTCCTAAACCCACACCTTATATGGATTTGGCTTTCTGGCCAGTGCCTTCTTCCCCAAATGCACCTGTAGGTCCCCGTCTGGGTCCCTGTAGCAGTCATTGCTGTGCATTAAATCTGTCCTTCTGGGCTTGTGGGAGGCTTTTGTTCCTGGCCCCTGTGTATAAAAATCTGGGGACACATATGACACGTGTCAGTTCCAAGCGGACTGTTGGTTACAGCAGCATCATACTGAACAATCTGACTGATACAGCTCCTTGGGGTTAGAACCTCCTTCCCTGCATTTTCTGGCCATTTTTACCTCCAAGTTCTGGACAAAATGCAGCCATCTCTGTAGACCTCTGAATCCAGCAGGGATCCCATGTTCATCTTTGTTCCCTTCAAGTCCGTCTTCCCCAGGAGACTGACAATGCCTTCAGGACAGGAAGTGCATCTTAATGACCCTCCATCCCTCACAAGGCCTTGGTCTGAATATAGAGGTAATGCTCACTGAGAGGACAGGGGGCTCATCAGGACCTGAGCAAGGTGCCCAGGATATATGATGAACAGGCACATGTGATGTCAGTTTGTCAATAGGAGAGCAATTCCTGATATGGGTGCTAAACATCACATGTCACGTTCCTTTCATCAGCCATAGAGCAAATCCCTGGACTCTCACTCAGCCGCTGAACACCCCACATTCTTAGACAAAAGAATGATTTAAGTGAGTCTGCAGTATTCTGTAACATATTGTTCTCGCACCATATGCTTAATAATGATATCGGGTGTTTACTCCCAGTTACTTCTGCAGGCTCGTGTATTGAGCAAACATCAGTATCCTGGGGCCCAAATACTGCTGAAAGCAACTGAAAATATGACAGTGAGTACCGTCAATATCAGCCCTAATCAACTTCCAGTTGTATCCAGAATACCAATACTATCATTTCAGCAGCTCTGCGTGGGTCTCAAAGGGCAGGTCTGCTATCCCTGCCTTCTGCAGAGGCTCAGAGAGGCTGACCGCCTGCAGAGGAACCACAACTGGAATGGGGCACCCGCTGGGGGATCCTCACAGAGCAGCATCCTCCTGCGGGGTAACAGCCCTCTCCTGCCGCTCTTCTGCCTCTGCTATTACTGGTTGTCTGACACACTTGACTTTCCTCTGTAATATTTCGAGGAGGACCCTGAGGGTTTCCCTCTTCATTCTGTTCCTGAATTGTTTCCCCCCAATTATTTCAGATTATGTATTTGCTTTTAATTATCTTTATATCGATTGTTTATCCTAAAACTCTGTTATATCCATTTATTTTAGCCTTGGTATTTTGATAACACCGTTTAAGCCTCAGCTGTCTGGCCAATTAAATGAGATGAGTCACATCAAACAAGCAAATGCTGATTTGTAGGTCTGCCTTCTCACCGACCTGCGGTGGGGCGAGAAGAGGATTCCTGATCCACATAGGAGTGCATAAGCAGTCTGCCACCCAGGCAGCTTCTGTGACTTCACGATCAAAGACGTTTCTGAGACTGATGATGCTTCCTTGACCTCAACATCCTCCTTCACAGTACCTACTTCAGGGGTGACTACTGCTGAGTACAGGAGCTGGGGTCTGGGGGAGATCCCACAGGCAAAGAAGAGAGACAAGCGCAGTCCCATGAGACTCAGAATGCTTACCCCACAGCCAATCCACACCAGTTCTGGTTTGGAAATCGATGCATCTGTACCCTGAGTTGCATTGGATCCTGGAGGACCAGAGCTCTGCATGATTTCTGCTCTCCAGCCAGTGTACTGAACTTGTAATACTAAAAATGGCATTCTCTAAACTCCCTTGCAGTTAGATTCTGGGCCTGACTTTATTTCATTTTGCCTAGGTGCATGTGTTTTCCACTTACAAGACAGAAGGTAGTGGGGCTGCGTTTCGCTGTGTCTGCTGTTTCCATTGTGAAGCACAGGGGAGAGGTCCTGGTTTTCTGCAGCTGTTTTAGCAAGAGGTCCCGATTTCTGGGCAGTGGCTCTGTGAGTGTCAAGAGCAGGGCTTGGAGCAGCCATTTTGCTGGTGAGCAAGTAGCAGACCCCGCCACTTCTGGGGCCTCTTTTTGATTCCTAGCTTCTAAGGCAAGGTATTCCTGAAGCACTTGGTTGTGGCTGGTTTTCCAATTTCTTAGTCCTAATAAAGGTGGGTGATCTGAGAGCCAGAGGAGGCCCAGCATCCTTTCTCCCCACCCCATTATCCAACTTCCTGCTCAGGGCAGCTGTAGGACATGGTGGGTGGAGTCACCTGGCACATCCACTGAGCTGCCTAGAGTAGCTCTATGCACAATGGAATGTGAGATTCACTTGGGGCAGTGGCAAAACATTATAGAAAATATTAGCAGAAGTTTAGATTATAATCTCAAACCTTTTGGAAGGCCAAAAGGTTTTATTGGGGCAGGCCAAAGCTGTCGGGTACATCACTAGGGAAGAGACAGGGTTGATAAGAAGCTTTCCCAGTTTAAGCCTGCTTACCCCACATCCCTTTGTCTCTACTCTGTTTAATCATGTAAACTTTGTGCTGGATGGCCCTCTCAGGGGGAGATCAAAAGGGAATTACCTGTTAATAGTGTTTACTCTGGGCCCAGAACCTAAAGCTTTTATCATTGATAAAACCACTCTGTTAATCGTGTTAATTATCCACAAGTGTGTTGACTTAGAACCTCTGTTATGAATAAATGCGTGGATGGACAGAGAGTCTTGGTCAATTGGTTGCATTTCACCCTCTGAAAGCAGCCAAAAGCCATCCCTAGCCCACTTGTATCACTGTAACGGTGTGAGAGTGCGTTTATTCATCTGTCGTTGAGTCACGATCTGCAGGCCAGACTTCTGCAGGTGGCGGGCGACGTCTCAATGGAACACATCTTGAGTGAATAAATGATGCATTCATCTGGAAGACTCTTCAAAAGAGGTGCATATCTCATGAGTTGGTAAGTCTCTATGCACAGCAAGTCACAATAAATTGGAAGCACTAGTCTTGGGAATGTTCTTTATTATTAATAATAGGAATACCTTCATTGGCTTTTAAAAAACTTTTGGAAGGTGAATATTAGGTGGAATCAGATTTGCTGTCTTGTCCCTGAAATTTGGCCTTTCTTTCTCCTTTCTCTCCCCCATATTAGATTATTTTCTAACTAGAGCACAAGGACAGTCCATGGATCTAATTACTTGAACATATTTCCTTTCATTAAAGGGATTTGCTTTAAATCCTAAACAAGTTTGACATTCAGCCTCTGTACTTTAAATAACAAGTGATTTTCTGTGTTCTCCAAGGTTACTACAATAAACATGTTATTTGTAGGTTTTAAGTGTAAAAGGTTAACGTAATCTCTATGCACCCCTTGCTTCCCAAGAAGGAAATATTTTTGCATACACAATTATACACAAATTTACAAAGCATAGTCTTTGTTTTACTTTATCTTTACACAAAATAAAGTAAAACAAAGCTTACTATTTAGAAAGCTTACTATTCTGTACCTTTTAGTACATCTTGAACATCTTTGCTTAGCAGGACAGACAATGAAAAGCCATCAGAAAAGCAAGGGTATATTGAGCATTTCTCATGCGCTGTGTGTTAAACTAAGACCTTTAAGTGGATTGACATCTTTGATCTACATAGCAGATAGGAAATTGGCACTTTCAATATCAAGCCTGCTCTCTTGGAGAAGGTCATGCATGTAAACCCACCTGGCCCCTCTTCCTCACACTTTCTTCCCTACTTTCTGGAGAGAGACTGTTTTCAGGGCTTTCTTTTGGCTTTAAGAATATTGCCCACAATGACTAATAGTAAGCCCTCTCTTTTCCAAAACTTGTGTTTCCTATGCTGTGATCCTGTTTTACCACGCTGGTTAGCAGTTCCTGAATGACGTAGTGAACCTGAGCATCTTTGCCTTGTTCCTGCGAGGCCTGGACCAGCTGCCCCAGATGAAACCCAGCCTCAGGGCGAGGCTGCCTAACAAGCTCCCAACTCCAAGGAAGCCACAGCTGGAGTTGTCATTGATGTTGCCGTTGGCCCAGGGGTGAGTTGGTACCACCTAACATCCCCTCACGAGGAGACCCAGCCTCCTGCATGAGAGTGGAGGATTCCTGGGTGATGGTATCTCCCTGAACATAGATGGGACCTGGCAGTGAGGACCACAGTGCCTGACCCCTGTGAGCCAATGCTTCCAGAACCTGAGACTTCAAGTCATTGCCCACTGGGGGATGGACTGAAGCACATCTCAAAATTCAACCAGATTTCCAGCTGGAGGCTGGGGAATCTAGAAACATTAACTGCCTCCCCCATTAAACAGATGCATTTATTTTTGTATTTATTGAATTAATTTACAAAATGCTGCTCTCTTGAGGGAAGCATTCCCTGGAGCTTGCAAATACCAACAGGTACCATGTAGTTAATATGCATTCAACAGAAGCAGTCATGTCAGGGTTATATTAACACCAACGAAAGAATACAAACATCCAGACTTCTGAATTCTCTAACCACGAAGATCTCTGTGATTTACTGTCTTTTAGGGCTCAATCTAGATAGGGAAATTTCTGTCAGAAGTTTCTGTGCAGCACATTCCTGTACTTCCTTGAATGGTTTTACGTATTTCTGAGGTTTCTGGCGTCAGTCCTTAGGGCCGACTGCTACCACCTTGAATCCAAGAGGACTGTTTTGGAGGAGAGGATGGGGGACCTAGTTGCATCTCCCTGGTAGTGGGACAAGCTAGTCTAATGTGTTTTTTCACAGTCTTCTAGATGGGAGAAGCACCTGTGAAGCCCAGCATCCAGGTGTTTCTGAAATTGCTCCCTGTGAATGAGGGCATCTGCCCGCCTCCACTGTCCCAATCCTGCCTATTCCCTCTCTCCTCTTCTGATGAGATCTTTCAGCAAATCAAGGCCGGGGCTTGACAAGCAACTTCCCAATCATCACCAACTCTCTGTATTTTAAGGTCTCCATCCACACTGCCTGCCCTGAAAGGAAAAGAAGCTGAGCAGTTACCCAATGAATCTAGAACAACCTTTTACTCTGCTCCTGTGCTATCTAGGTAAAACTGATCAAACAGCACATTTTCGGAGGCTAGGTTTGCTTCCTTTCTTCCTTTTTTGTTACTGAAAAAGTTTGGTGTGGTTTCTGTTTTGACTTACTTTTAAATTTTTTAAATTTTTGACACATAATAACTGTACATACTTATGGGGTACAATGTAATTTTTTTTTTGAGACAGGGTCTCACTCTGTCACCTAGGCTGGAATGGTGGCACGATTACGCTTGCTGTAGCCACTAATTCCCAGGCTCAGGTCATCTTCCCACCTCAGCCTCCTGAGTAGCTGGGATTATAGGTGCATGACATTATGCATCACTAATTTTCTTTTTTTTTTTTTTTTTATCACAAAACTAGCTTTATTATATTTTTCTCAGTTAGATTTTTGTGTTAAATATCTTCACTGTCCTGGTGACTTCTGGTTCTTATTTTCTTGATGTATATAATGTCCTCAGCCTTCTTCGGATTTTCTGTGCATCACTAATTTTCATATTTTTCATAGAAACAGGGTTTGGCCATGTTGCCCAGCCTGGTCTTGAACCCCTGGACTCAAGCTGTCCACCTGCCTTGGTGTCCCAAAGTGCTAGGATTACAAGCATGAGCCACCGCACCCATCCTGATGGTATAATATATGTGCGCATTGTAGAATGATTAAATCAAGCAAATTAGCATACCCATCATCTCACATACTTGTCATTTTTTCATGGTGAGAGCATTCAACACCTACTCTTTTTTTTTTTTTGAGACGGAGTTTCGCTCTTGTTACCCAGGCTGGAGTGCAATGGCGCGATCTCGGCTCACCGCAACCTCCGCCTCCTGGGTTCAGGCAATTCTCCTGCCTCAGCCTCCTGAGTAGCTGGGATTACAGGCACGCACCACCATGCCCAGCTGATCTTTTGTAGCTTTAGTAGAGACGGGGTTTCACCGTGTTGACCAGGATGGTCTCGATCTCTTGACCTCGTGATCCACCCACCTCGGCCTCCCAAAGTGCTGGGATTACAGGCTTGAGCCACCGCGCCCGGCCAACACCTACTCTTTAAAAGCAATTTTGAAATATATAATACACTATTGTAGCCAGAGTCACCATGCTGTCCAGTAGATTGCTGAAACGATTCTTCCTAACTGAAACTTCGCACTCTCTGACCAACATCTCCATTTCTCCATTCCCTCTTCCTCATTCATTCCTCAGTTTGGACAATAGCAGCTGTTTTGGCCTGAAAATGCCCACAGAAGCATCCGTGCCTCACACCAGCTAGTAGGAATAAGTACAGGAAACCCCGTGACTGCCCATCAGCAGTGGAATGTGTAACTGAGTCATGGTCTGTTCCAACCAAGAAATGATACAAGACGGTGTAAGAAGCTGATGATCTGCGGTGGTCTGAGACAATGTGTATGAGAATCTTGCAAAGTAATTTGAGCCAAAGAAGCCAGACAAAAATGGTACAAATTGTATTATTCTGTTAATACTAGGTATAAAATCCAGTGGAACTAGGCTATGCTGTCAGAACTGAGGACAATGATGGTCCCAGTTGTAACCAGGAAGGGGGACATGGGGAGCTTCTATGTGTGGTGTGGGTGACCCACTGTTCTTGTTGAGAGGCTGGATACATGAACATGCTCAGTTTGTGAAAATTCAACAAACTGTACGTACACTTAGGAAAGGTGCCGCATTTATGTGTGTGTGTGCATGTGTTTATATACCTTAAATGTGTATCTATACATCTTAATTTTCTTTTTTGACACAGAATCTTGCTCTGTCACCCAGGCTGGAGTGCAGGGCACAGTCTCAACTCCCTACAACCTCCACCTCCCAGGCTCACTGCAACCTCCTGCCTCAGTCTCCCGAGGAGCTAGGATTACAGGCACATGCCACCACACCCAGTTAATTTTTGGATTTTTTTTTTTTTTTAGTAGAGATGGAGTTTCACCATGTTGGCCAGGCTGGTCTCGAACTTCTAACCTCAAGTGATCCACCCACCTCGTCCTCCCAAAGTGCTGGGATTACAGGCATAAGCCACTGTGCTCAGCCCTTAAATATTTTTTTGAGATGGGTTCTTGTTCCATTGCCCAGGTTGGAGTATAGTGGTGTGATCATAGCTCACTGCAGCCTTGACCTCTTGGGCTCAAGCAATCTTCCCACCTCACCATAAATTTGAACATGAAAAAGAGCAAGGGCAATTCTGCTGTTGGACGTGCAGACATAAAGCTCCAGAGGGTCTTGTAAAGGTAGAGCTGTCTTCAGACACCACTGTCCTTGGCTCACAGCATGTCCCTTGCTGCCCTGTGCTCTGATCCCTATGCCCCTTCCCAGAAGATGTGAATGTTTTGCTGAGGGATAGGAGGCCCTGGCACTGGGTGGGGGGCCACCGGCCCTGGTCCTCAAACTGGGATGGGATCCTTAAGTGCTTTCACTACAGTGTCATGGCTCTGAAGCTTCCAAGAAGACAACAAACATAAACAAACATTAAAAAAAAAAAAAAAAAAAAAAAAAAAAAACA